CGCAATTACTGCTGCAATTGTCAAAAAACCAATCTAGGTGGTATTCGGTCAGAACAACACTGAGATTAACTTGCGCCAGGGGCAAGATATGCCGAAGCCCCTTTAATAAAAAGAAAACGTTTCTACGTACTACCGTTTTCAACGATCTTATCATCATTGCATTCCCTCCCTTCAGAACAACCGGAGGATCTGGAACGGAGACACATTCCTCTCGGCCATATCTTCCGTCAATTGCTATCCTATAGCAAGGAAGAGACTGATTAAAATCCCTTTCTCTTCCTCGCAAGGGCATTCAAATCTTGGAAAAGAGTTTCTGCCGCCAAAATGTTCAAACGTCTCTCGGGTGGTCTACAGCGCCAGGATGGTGATTGGTCCGCCTTTCCTGTACGCCAACTTTTTGTGTTAGGTATGTCGATACTGGAGTGTCGCCCAATTTCAAGATCCGAATGTGTATTGTATCAGGTGCGGCAATGTCTGTTTGCTGCTATCTCTCTCTCTTTTTCTTTTCTTTTCTTTTTCCTTTCTCCTTTTATCGATTCATGATTCTCCTTGACCCCGAATTTATCACTGACAGCTTGACAAGCATGTTGCCGAATTTGCGAGCCAATTGCGTTTATGTCCATTTTTCCTTATGTCTATCACATGGTGGAATCATTCCACGTGACAGACAATGATCGCAAAATTGCCCTTTACGCGGGCATGATCACTTCTGCATTTACATTCGCCGAATTCTCTACAGGCATGTTCTGGGGGCGCATGAGCGACAAGATTGGCAGAAAACCAGTCCTAATCATGGGGCTGATCGGAACCGCTATCAGTATGATTGTGTTTGGATTCGCCCCGAACCTACCCACTGCTATGATCGCCCGAGCTTTAGGTGGCTTGCTGAACGGCAACATCGGAGTGCTTCAGACGACCGTCGCGGAGATTGTAACGGTCAAGGAACACCAACCCCGGGCTTACTCGATCATGCCGTTTGTTTGGTGCTTAGGATCGATCATCGGACCCGCCATGGGCGGTGCGCTGGCACAGCCGTGCGAAAACTATCCTTGGTTATTTCAGCGCGGAACTATCCTCGAAACTTTCCCATTTCTGCTGCCCAACGTGGTCTGCGTTGTTGTTCTACTGTTCGGCATCGTGGTTGGCTTCCTGTTTTTGGAGGAGACCCATCCGGAGAAAAAGCACCACCGGGACCTTGGCTTGGAGTTGGGCAACTGGCTCATCGGAAAATGCTGCAGATCTTCTGTACAGCTGACCGAGGACACGGATATCAAGGTGGAATCACAGGAAGCGGATTATCTCGACTACGATATTCCCCCGCCTGAGTACAAGAGCAATGAATCCTCCCCGCAGTTGTCGCCGATGAAGGATTTGGATAATCTGTCCGATGATGACGACATTGAAGGCCTGATGAAGAATGAGAAGTGCGGAACTCCTAAGGCTTTTACTAAACAAGTTATTTTCAACATCATTGCCTACGGAATCCTTGCATAGTGAGTAACACCCCCGAGCATTTTCCGATCTAGCAGAACGAGGCCCGATGTTGATACTAACATCCCTTACAGCCACAGTGTCTCTTTCGATCAGCTGATGCCCGTTTTCCTAAGCACCCCAAAGTCCGACGAAGATACCGTATTGCCGTTCAAGTTTACTGGAGGCCTCGGTCTGCCCACGAAGACAATCGGCTTCATGCTCGCAGTGCAGGGTGTCTACTCTATGATAGCCCAGCTCTGGTTGTTTCCATTCGTTGTACGCCACTTTGGCACTTTGCGTACTTTCCGCTTCGTGCTCCTTGTCTGGCCTCCTCTTTACCTGTTGGTTCCATACCTCATTCTCCTCCCCGAAACGCTTCAGATGACCGCGGTGTATGTTGCCTTGATCAGCAAGATCACCTTCCATGTCATCGCTTTCCCGTCAACCGCCATTTTGCTCGCCAATGCTGCTCCGTCCTCCAAAGTGCTTGGATCCATTAATGGTGCAGCTGCCTCTACGGCAAGTCTGAGCCGTGCTTTCGGCCCAACCGTAACTGGCCTACTTCACTCGAAAGGTCTCGAGAGTGGATACTCTGTGCTGGCCTGGTGGGCCTGTGGCATTGTTTGCATAATTGGAGCCATCCAGAGCTTCTGGATGGAGGAGAGTGACTCGAAGACCGTTTCCAAGCACACCGAGCAGCATGAATGTCATGCAAGCGAGACCAACCTGCGGGGCTCGTACACTGCGGGCAAGGAGGACGCCACCCCAGAAGAAGTGCGGAGATTATTGTCCTCTGCACGGACTAGTGTTGACGATTCTGAAATGCTCAATGTCGATTTGACACAAACTCCCGCCAAGCACGAGCATGATTGAGTTGGCCATTTCGCATGACGTGACCTTAACACGACTCCGCATGACATTCGACATCATTTACCACGTCTCCTTTTATCTGACATCATGCTTGCTGGACTCATTTCCCCTCTATTTACTTCTTTTTACTCTCTTATTTTTGTCCCCCTTCAATCATCTATTGTTGATTTTATACACTTGTTTGACTTGCATTTTGGATTCGTTGAATATCTCATATGATGGTGGCTAGCTTTGATTTGGTTTAGTTTATTTTCATTTTGGTGTATTTCTTTCTGTGTTACATCATGATATAAGTTTGGGTGAAGGCGCATTTCATAGACTGGATGCATCTTTAAAAGCATGGGGTTGGCTATTTCCTTTTTTCATCATCTTTTGAGCATTGTTGGGTTGGGCACGCTATTATGCATCTGGGAGGCTTTTGTTATTACCATATATCCAACTCATCTGAGCGCAGAATCTATTTCTGGAGAACAAGGTGGACGAACAATCCCCCGAATTCTCCCTGTTTGACTTGACTTAACTTTTCCGGTCGTTCCATCTCCGTGTTGTTCCCTGTAGACTCGGTGCTCGCAAGGCTTGTGAATATCTTCATTTTTGGCCCCGCCCGCTCTGCGATAGCCTGCATTGCCCCTCGTACTTTGGCACCTTACATAATCTTCAACGTTCCCCAACGCTGCACCTCATCGGACAACATTCCAATAGAGTAAAGTCTATGCTGGGAGCATTCAGAACAGATGTTCGCCTGGTCGGCTTCTATCACGGTAGTTAATCAATCCCGTTTTCGTCGTGGTTCCCCTATATGAGATTACCGAGTCTCTCATTCTCCAGCCAGCGGTCCTTCTACCGTTTCTACCGCTCTTAAAGCTTTAGTGTTTATTCTATAGTATGTGCTATCAATGTAAGAGGAAATGCGTTAGCTCTGCTTGGGTGATTGAATGAAAAGTTGGGCCAGATTTAGTGGGTGCATACATACTCTCTCTCTCGATCCGGGTAACTTATCCTGACGATCTTATAGCTTCATCCACTATTAGCATGACACGAGTTGGACTCCTTAAAGGAATAGGTCATGCAGACGTATGGAAGAAGGATGAATATGCCGGGCTGGATTGAGTCTATGGCTTAATTGATATCCCATATGAATCCCGGCGCATATCATACAGTTTTAATATCCTAAAGTGACTAGGATCGAGGGAAGAACAGGGGGTAGACCGGGAAACTATTCCTCAACCGGACAACCACGCCAGTTGAGCTCGAGAGTAGTGCGAGTGCATAGGTACTGAGACGATCACCTCGAAGAGTTGGACATTAATATAATTATCATAGGTTAGTTAATTGTCTAGAAGGAACGGTGTTGCTGCCAAGTATTCATTGAGACTCCACTGTGTACCCTCATGGAAACGCGTAATTAATTTGGTTGGTGATGACAAAACCATAGATATTCCTTATCAGTAACCAATAATCAAACTCGAATCTGAGATTACAGAGTCACGTGTAGTGCTTGGTTACGGTATTGTCATTCACAGTCCGTGCTCCTCGTAGACTTTTAGGGAATTTTTTCAGATGTCCACCGACACTCAATTGCTCCTGGCGTGTTTCTATGCTGTAGAGTGGATCTAGACCTTGCATTGCTGTGAATCCAAACAGTTGTTTTCGTCCATTGTGGGTGACTCAGGCAATGTCGCATATTGACTGATTTCTCATCTAGTAGTTCTATCCGACCCCAGCTTTACACGGTTCATACATTCTTACTAGTACCGAAGTAAGTGCAGCGGACTCCCCATTGCCAGCTCCACCGGTTTGGTCTATCTTGAACTCCAGTTTTTTTTTCTTTTTTTCTTTTTTTTTTTTTTCTGTTCAACTTTGTCTCTAATTAGTCGGGCCTTACGCGACATTTGAAACTTCGTGTGTGGTGACGGTCTACCACCGTCATGGGCTGCGACTGTCCTGCCCTCCAGACAGATACCGAACAGGACCTCAGGCCCTGACAATCATCTCGGAAACTAATAAAGCCCGCGGATCGCCGTTCAACTGAGGAGACAGTTTCCCGGCAATCACCTCCTAAGCCTCTGTGCAGACAAAAAAAAGGACCGGCGAGAGAAGAGAAGTCGGCGCATGTTTTAACATGAATGTTGCTGCGTCTCTGGATTTACGGTGCACCTCCCCACTTGATTCGACCTTCCGCAGAACTCCAACAGCGAGACATGCTCGTGCGTTGGCGCTTCTTGTCGCCGTACGTTTCCCGTCATGCTGAACCCTACTTCCCCGGCTTCGCCGACCTCCATAGGGAGGAAACGACCGCGCCCGCCTACTGAGCCTTCTTCAATCCACACTGAGTCGCTGGCGCAATCTCATCAGCATACACCGGCAAACGTTTCCACCGCCCCCGCCTCGAATTCCTCCTCATTCCGCAATGTGTCGGCCTGCAACCGTTGCCGCCTGCGCAAGAACCGCTGCGACCAACGGCTTCCTCGATGTCAATCTTGCGAAAAAGCCGGCGTCCGGTGTGTCGGATATGATCCCATCACCAAGAGGGAGATCCCACGGAGCTATGTTTATTTCCTGGAGGCTCGCGTGACATACCTGGAGAAGGTACTGATGGAACATCAAATCGATTATAAGGGAGCAGTAGCTTTCGATGAAGAAGAAGCGGTTAAGGTGGAGGCGGGCCATGATCCTGCTCAGACAAAAATGGCTAGCTCGGACGCGCCTGCAGGTGCTGAAGTGCTGACATCTGACGGGAGCGACAAACTGATGCGAATGAAAGGGGAGAAAGAAGGCTCGGTATCGAGAGCAGACAAACATAAAGAGAACGGGGAAGACGCGGAGGACAGCGCGGATCCCGAAAAAGAAGATAACTGGAGGATACATAACTTGGTATCAAATATTGGCATGGTGTCGGTCCAAGGAACCTCTGATCCTCGGTATTTAGGATCAACATCTGGCATTTCTTTTGCCCGGGTCGTGTTTGCTGCAGTGAAAAGCTCTGTCCCAGGAAATGCATCGGAGCGAGGTCCCATGCGCCCAAGCGAACGCCTACCCCATAGCGCTACTGGTACAGCTGGGAGTACGGGGCGTGATTCTTTCTTCGGTCTTCAGACGAGGCCGATGATGAAATGCGCCGCCTTTCCAGAGCGGGAACTGGCTGAGAAGCTCGCCGGCCTCTATTTCGAACATGCTAATCCTCAGATACCCATTCTCCATCGCAATGATTTTATGGAACTACTTGATCGCACTTACTCAGTTGAAGAAAAAAGCCGCTCTCCTCGCAGTCTTTACATGCTCAACATTGTCTTCGCTATTGGTGCTGGTATTATATTTGAGGATAAGCCAGGGGACGAGAAAGGAAACGGACGCGACCGTTCGCCGTCCACATCGAAGAGGCCCCGACTGTCAAATCATCAATACCAACCCGAGGAGTATCATGCCTCGGCAATCATTCACTTAGAGTCCTTCGTTGGTGCTCCTTCTACAAACGACGGTTTTGGAGCGTTAGAGGAGCTACAGGCAGTGCTTCTGCTCGCCAATTTTGCCCTGCTACGGCCCGTTGCGCCTGGACTATGGTATATTGTTGGTGTTGCGATGCGGCTGGCTGTTGACCTTGGTCTACATTACGAAGATGGAACAGGCATTGATACATTGGCGGATGAGAGTCTTGACCATCCACAACGGAGAGCCGAAGATAGGGACAAGCCGCGTATTGATACCCGTGAGCGAGGGCGTCGGGAGTGGGTTCGTGATCTTCGCCGGCGCTTGTGGTGGTGTGTCTATAGTTTCGACCGCCTGGTTAGTTGCTGTGTTGGCCGCCCTTTTGGGATCAGCGACCAGGCTATTAGCACGGAGTTTCCGTCCTTGTTGGAGGATCAATACATCACCAAGTCAGGGATCGTGGTGCCTCCAGAAGGCGCTCCGAGCTATAAACATGCAGCACATCATTACTTTAAGCTAAGAGTGCTCCAGTCTGAGATTCAAGATGTCCTACAACATCAACAATCACGGTTTGCGAAGAACAAGGTGCCTTATGCGGCAAGGAGATTTACGCGATCTGATCTCATATCCCCATTCCTGCAGGGATTTGACTCATTCCGCTCCTGGCGCAAGGATATCCACCGGCGATTGATTGAATGGCAACAGACTGCTCCAACGAAGCGAGACACAGGCGTGCAATTCTCTGTGGAGTTTCTCGAATTGAACTATTGGCAAGCTGTCATCATGCTGTACCAACAGAGCCTAACTGTTCCCGCCGAGTTAGCAGATGAAGTTACACCCGCTGAAGATGTCTCCAGTCCTTCTTTCTCTAATGTAGACGAAGCCGATGATGAAGACGATATCTATTATAAAGTGGCCGAAGCAGGACAAAAGGTTATTCGAATATACCGTCAAATGCATCGTGTGCGCTTGGTGAATTACACGTATCTCGCTACACACCACATCTTCATGGCAGGTATTTCATTTCTATATGCAATCTGGCATTCGCCCGTAGTTAGAAGTCGCTTGGTTTGTCTCCCACGCAAATGAAAAATAAAGACTATAGAAGCTAATTGTATCATAGACACTAGACGAAGTGGACTTCACAGTGCTTGCTGCCACGTCTGTCCTGGGAGATTTAGTGCATAAATGTCCGCCTGCAGAAGCCTGTCGTGATGCTTTTGAGCGGATGAGTAAAGCCACGGTGCAGATGTCTTTATCTACCACTGGATTTGGATCGCAGGTCGACTTGACTCGGTTCCAAGCAAATGCCGTTATAACCCAGCATGCCAATGCAATCTATGCTGGTCGAAATAGACAGAATGGTCGCTATACAATAGATCAACGACAGAGGCCTCCCCCTGGCCAATCTAGACGGCAAACGCAGACGCGGTCAGCACGACCAATTCCGAGATTCGATATGAATCTTGGTGATCTTTTCAGCGATAATTCTGTCCCTGAACGGCAGGGCACAAGGCGATCGGTGCAGTCTTACTCAGGCCGACCGGAATTCTCTGACGTCTCCGCCTCTACTTTCGCTTCGGAGCGACCAAACCGGACTCAACGAACACCATCCATGGAGTACTATGGGAACTATGAGAGCCCCGTCTCTCCACAGACACAGCAACAGTACGTTTATGGTAACTCTCCACAGCACAGTGGGTCGCCTAGCAGCGTTACTGCCAACCCTAGCCATCATCAGTTCCAACCGACAGACCAAGAGATCTCATCAACCGGAATTAGCCTGGATTTCCTGGACTTCGACGTAGCTGGTGCAGAGGGCCAAGTCCCTCTAGGGTCTGATGAGAACCCCGATTATGATTTACAGGCAGTACCCTCGTTAGGACACGGGGCTGGGCATAGTGTTGGAATCGACCTCGGTTTCGGCATGGCAGTCGACTTTCAACACGACTGGAGTGAGAATGCCAACTATGATCTTCTTGAAGGATACTTCTTTGGGGGTTCGGGAGCCGGTCCATCTGCAGATGGCTAAGGTAGGGTTGAGATTGGTCTGTGTACTTGCTCAAATTCCACAGTTTGTTTGTTTATATTTGGCTACTTTCCCTTGTCACTGATCGGCAAGTCTCCCGACACCGGAATGGAAATGTTCTTACGAGGCGGATCCTCTTTGTTATATTTTCAATGATGGCTGGATCTTGGATATATGTGTCTATGCCGTATACAGGTTTTTTTTCTTTTTTTTTTCTTTGTTTTTCTTCTCTTTTTTTTTTTCTTTTTTCTTATTTTGCAGCTGCATCTTTCTTCTTGGATATCCTGTCTGCCAAGGCCCAATGAGCGTGAAGAAATACCAAATAATTTCCGAATAAATATGGACCTGTCGTGGGGTAGAGATAAAATTAAGCCTGTCAGGGCCAGAGACGAGGCCATAAAATATTGGGCAGCAACGAACTATCTCCAAAAAGAGTTCGGCGATTGAGTTGTTGCTCGGCGGGACAACCAACGCTAAACCCCAAACAATCAAACAAACTATTCAATTCACTTCAGTAACTTGACAACTGGACCTCCGCTTTTGCTTCCTTCGTTGGCCAGCGCATGCAACCGGGCCCTTGAATGGCAACTATATATGAGTGTTGTCTGGTTCGGGTTCATAGTTATCTGAAATTTCCTGAGGAGGAGCTATCCCAGAGGTGTTCCTAGTCAGTTTGCTCTTCGTGATCTTCAAGATCTATCGACGCTTTGGCCATGCAAACTGACCAATTTTAGCTCCTACTAGATCAACTACACCCTATCTTGATTCCGATCTCTCCCCCTTGTCGGTGCTTATTATCTGTTCTTCTTGTGTACATATAATTTGGCCACTAGTTCTTGCTTACGTTCCGCTGTTTTCCCCGCAACGGTCTTGTTTTTCCCGTGTTTTCGGGTGCCTTGATTGGGAAGATCATGTCCGTTTATCGAGAACGATAAGGAAAAAGTTCGCCGTACTCCACCTCCGCTGCTAAACAAACAATCGATGAGGACATACAACACAAAGTCCCAAAGTCAGATGCTGCGTCGGAACGACTAATCAGAGACTTGGAGGTATACAATCTACGGGCAGTTTCTTCGGTTGCTTGGGAGGATTCCCGTTCACGAGTTAAGTTCAATCGAGAAAAGGGAGAAAGCACTTCACTTTTCAATTTTGCTTCACATTTTTGTCCGTGGCTTTCCCTCGATAGCCTGACCCTTCTTTTCGCTCTACACTGCAATAGACGCCCATACGCCGATCCCCCATACATTTGATCCATCCGCACCCCGCTGTCCCGACGTTGCTTGATGTGTCAGGTCATGTACAAAACGGTTGAATCTTGGTGCGAACTTCGTGATCTACCTTCCTTTGACAATACAAATATACGAGTCACCCGGCAAGCTGGCAACTTTTCAAGATGGTAAAGGCGGATGTTCGGAGGGATTATTATGCAGACTTAGGTCTTGCGCCCAATGCGGACGGTGAAGATATCAAGAAGCAGTTTAGGAAACTAGGTAAGTGGAAGACCGTAGATTGGTTGCTTGGATTGTCATTGATTTGTTAGCTCTTAAATACCATCCGGATCGGAATCCTGGCAAAGAGGTGGAATTTATTTCCAAGTTCCAAGCCATTCAAGCTGCAAATGAGATTCTTAGCGATCCTCAACAACGGTTGAGGTACGACACAGACCGCTTACGGGCTGGGTACGGAAAGTACTATGGACCGCCCAAGTCCAACTCCCCTCGAAAAGCTCCCACCAAAACCTATCCTTCATCGACTTCGGCAAAACCTCAAACTGCGAAACCACCGTTCTCGTCGCGACCACAGTCATTCCATAATGGTCCTTCTTCTGGCGCTCAAAGATATGCAAGCTATGCGCGGGCAGCCCCAAAACAACCGTGGGAGAAGATGCAGGATGAAGGACAGACACGGGCTGATGCATATCGCGGGTTTCAAGACATGAAGGGGAACCACACGTCTGGTTGGTCCCAGTTTGACCCTCGCACAGGGCGCTCAGGGTACTCAGGTTCTACGCCCCGAACCAATGCCTCTTCTACAAGTCAATCGACAAGACCCAAATCCGCCTACGAATATTTCAAGACATCTCCTAAGCCAGCGGGTTCAGAGTCCAACCGTGCAAATTCTACAAAAAAGAAGCAAGGGTTTGCCCCGCGGTCTGCTGGTGGGGACGAACCTATGGCCCCGAACACTTCTTCATATTCGAATGTGCCTCGAGATGAACGGCCCCAGATGAGAGATTTCTTTGGTCCTGCTCCCTCCCCGACAGCTAGAAAGGCTGCTGCAGGCTTCCAGAACCGCGAAGAAAATTCAAGTACCCCGGAAGTTGAGCGAACAGGTAGCAAGTACGCCGGTACTGGAGGAGAAAGAACATTCTTCTCGAGTGCTTGGCTCGGTCGCTCTGCAAGTATGCATGAATCACCCGGAAGTCCTAAGCCTCATGCGCGAACAAACCCATCCAGCCCGACTCCCCGAGAATCGGGCAGGCATCGAAGTGCAAGCCCCAAGTTCAAAACAGACCATAATCGGAACTACTCGTCCACAAGTTCAAGCGACACCGATGATGGGGAAGTCAATCCGGAACACAAGCCCAAGGCGGTCCCCAAGGGCAGGCTTCGGCCTCATCAGAGATTCGCTAACTTTCACACCCAGCAAAAATTTGATTCTAGAACTGGTGAGTATTCTTCACCCATGCAGACAGATTCTTGTCTCAGTCATAAAGTAGGAGGGCTTAGGATTCAGGTACTAACGGGACGGGTATGTAGGGCATGATTCTGACAGCGCCTCCTCGGCCCGAAACATGTTTGGAGCTTCTAAAGCAGGAGATCCATTCGTACAGTAAGGCTAATATTAGTACCGGATTGGTGATTTACAAGGTCTGAAGCTAACCTGTCGTCCCTCGCCTGTGTAGATCGCAATCCCCTAGATCTCGAGACGTTCCGCCAAATGGGGCATTCAACAGTAGGAGTCATGACGACCTGCGGAAGCCATTTTCAGCGACTAGTTGGAACACATTTGACTTCTTTACTCCATCATCTTCGGACAAAGAACAGCCCCAATCAAAGCAAGGTTCATCCAGTCGCGGGCGTACCGCTACTAGGAACAGCCCCGGTCGAGCAAGCCACTCTGCAAGTACATCCAATCATGATCCCTCCCGGTCTGGCTCATCGTTTCAGCAACAGCCTACAGCGTTTGCCGAGGGTAAATTTTCCGCGGATGACTGGGCGGATAAGTTCAAGGACCTACTATGGGCCATGCCGAAGGACGACGGGCATCAGCAACAGCAACAACCCGGGAATGCCCAACGTCCACGAAGCCCTCGCAAACATACTCGGCCTGCTACCAAAATGCGAGCCGCACCGCAAGCTGCTAGCGTTGCGACTGAGGCTGAGGAAGCAAAGACAACGGTCGATGGAGATCATGATAAGCAAGACTCGGCTCGAGTAGGAGAGGAAGATGGAGAAGCCATGGATCTGGACGACGATTCTCCCGCGAAAGATACGACTGTGGATTTGGATAGAGCAGCCAAGAGCAAGGATATGCCTCCCTCAAAACCAACACCGCCTTCAAGTGGTAATGGAGGAAAGGGAGAGGACACGAAGCCCACAGGTCAACACTTGGACCTTAAGAATCTGGGCAAGACAGCACCGTTCACAAGCACTACAGATGGTGGCATCGAAGATCTACAAGACATTCATTCGAGCCTACCATTTGAATCTCGCGCCAAACCCCAAAGGACGACAGTGCGCGATATACGCCCCCGGGAACTTATTTGCCCAAACCCACCCAAACGGCCGCAACCGCCACAAACTGTGCCAATCAGCGCTGGCTCGCAACAGCTGGGGCTGCCTCGGAAAGCATGGGACCGATACGTGACAGAGATGAATACTTACATGCGCGAATGGAATCACTTTAACCGACGCATGCTCCATCATTTCAACGCACGCCAGGAGGCCATCGAAACTGGAATGGCAGCGAACTGGATAAGTGCCGTTGGTGATTCAACGCGCTTAAGGATCAACAGTCAGGATGAGGACACTGATGACAAAGGCGTGGGTGGTAATGATAGTGACGACGAGATGGTGCCGGGCGGCAAGGGCGGCTACAGCGCGTATCTACGCGGATTAGATGAAGACGCCAAAGTGCTAAAGCACTGGGAAGTCGCACGGGAGATGCATCGAGATTGTATACTGAAACTCGGGCAGACGCGGGAGTGGATTTTGAATGGAGGGAAAGTCATCTGAAGCATACAAGGCTGGAGTTGGATATAATTTCTGGGGTTTTTTTTTTTTTTGGTTCTTCTCTCTTGCATAGGACGGGCGTTGGTGCATTGGGGTTGTTTCCAATTCGTGTGATATTAAAGGGGATGAGGACATTCGTATCGTTGTATTATACATATACATTGTTAAGTCCGGCGCACTGTGGACTTGTGAGAAGCAGCCAATAGCTATCTATCAAAGTCGTACTCCGTAATGGATTGATGTAACTTCGTGATTGTAAAGACCCTAAACCCCGAGCCCTAGGCCGATTGCGGCCCGGGAACCCCTCTGCCTAGCCTGAGGCCGCCACCTACCGAAGAGGGACCCCACGACCCCGCTATGAGAGGAATCATGACGGGACGAAACGGTAAGAAAGGTGAAGCCAAGGCTAGCGAAGGGGAAGCAACAGGGAAAAATTCAGTCGTGGATGACCAAACGGTACGGTACCCGGCGCTGAGTCACATGGAATAGCCGTCCTCCGTCACCATATATTATCTTTGCCTCCGCTGTTCCCCTCCCTTTCTTTTTTCGGTTTTTTGGTCTTTGACGGTCGCGAAGTTTTCGCCGCTGCTCCATTTACTTCTGGTGCAGGTTAGATCCTTCTACCTACCAGGTAATAAACCAATTGCATTCGCCTTCATTGCCCAGTCTGTTTTTAATTTGACTAAGCCAATTAAACAACCTGTTTATCGGAATCGTGTCAGTCTCCATACGGTGGACCCCGCCGTCTCTCTCCAATACACCACATCGATCAGCCACACATCTCTGATTATCAATTGAGGACTGTTACTAATGCGGCTCAAAAGTCTCTTGTAGATCCCGATCTTTGAATATTTGCACAGCAATCATGGGTGTTTCAATCGTTCTGGGTAGCCAGTGGGGTGATGAAGGTGGGGAATTCGCTCTCCCCCGGTTTGATTCGGGCATTCGGGCATTCGAGACATTGACACATACTGATTGCGTTCGGATGGTATAGGAAAGGGAAAGATTACGGACATGCTCGCGCAGCAGGCTACGCTGTGCTGCCGTGCCGCTGGCGGTCACAGTAAGTCAGCCTCTAACAAGAGCTTGCATTGGTCCATTGATATTGACCCTTCGTTCCAGATGCGGGCCATACTATTGTCCATGGTGACAAGACCTATGACTTCCACATTCTTCCCTCTGGCTTGATCTCCCCTTCATGTATCAACCTTATCGGTGCTGGTACCGTCGTTCACGTTCCCAGCTTTTTCAAGGAGTTGGCTTCTCTTGAGGAGAAGGGTCTCGAGGGTGCTAGCAAGCGCATTTTCATTTCTGACCGCGCCCATGTCTGCCTTCAGCTGCACTCCGTTGTAGATGGTTTGGAGGAGGCCAAGCTGGGTGGTCGCAAGGTTGGCACTACTGGCAAGGGTATTGGCCCTTGCTACAGTGATAAGGCTTCTCGCAGGGGTATCCGTGTGGGAGAGATCCTGGATGAGGCGGTTTTTGAGCGCAAGTTGCGCTCTCTGGACGCCGGATATCGCGCCCGATTCGGCGATTTGGAATATAACGTCGAGGAGGAGCTTGCGCAATTCAAGGTAGGATACTGCTCGCTTCCTTGCCTCCGCCTTTCAGCGTATGCAGCAGAAGTTGAATTAACGAAATTAGGAATACCGCAAACTCCTGGGTCCTTACATTGTCGACCAACTGGCCTTCCTTCAAAAATACAAGGACTCTCCGAACACCTTGGTCGAGGGTGCTAACGCTCTTATGCTCGACTTGGATCACGGCACCTACCCCTATGTGACGTCCTCGTCCACCGGCCTGGGCGGTGCTATGCAAGCCCTGTCTCTGAACCCCACTAGCATCAAATCCGTTATCGGTGTTGTGAAAGCCTACACTACCCGTGTCGGCTCTGGGCCTTTCCCTAGCGAACAGTTCAACGAGGATGGCGACAAGCTGCAGAGTGTCGGCAGGGAGTTCGGTGTCACTACCGGTCGTCGTCGTCGCTGCGGCTGGCTTGACTTGGTCGTCTGCCGCTACTCGCAGGCGATCAACCACTACACCGCTCTAAACCTGACCAAGTTGGACGTTCTGGACGACTTCGACGAGATCAAGGTCGGCGTTGCCTACATCCTGCCCGACGGCACCCGCACCGAGAACACTATCCCTGCCGACGCCGAGGTCCTCGAGAAGGTGAAGGTCGAATACGTTACTCTCCCCGGCTGGAAGAGCAACACCATGGGCGTCAAGAAGTACGAAGATCTCCCCGCCAATGCGCGCGCATACATTGAGTACATCGAGCGCGAACTGGGTGGCGTTCCTGTGAAATGGATCGGTACCGGTCCGGCTCGCGATGACATGATTGCCCGCGAGTAGAGCAACTGGAATTTTGACTACATCTAGACGGGTTGATCCTTGTTTTCTTTCTCAGCTTCATTTCCAATAAAATATCCTGATGTGTCATTGAGGCGACATCATCCTTGTACGTTTTGTTTCCGCGGTCGACCCGAAAATCTATATCTACGAATGACGATGTCCGATAGGGGTAGATATGGATTGGTCTATACAGATGAATAGATGCTTGAAATTTACCTTTTAATGACATGCCTTTCTGCTGTATAAATTGTCTCCTGTTCTGTACGTATGGGTCATGGTATCTTGTCCTTTTATCTTTGTGCGATAATCACGGCGAGATGTTAAATAATTAGATCGTATTCTGCTTGGCTCATGGAACAGACGAAGAACAAGAATAAATAAAATAAATCAGATTAAAATTGACCGGCAGAGAAGGGGGAAAAAAAATAAATAAATCTAGCGCATTCCAGATGAATCCTCCCTCCAGTGCACGTGGAGATATATGGGTAATGCTTATGCGGTGCTTAGACTTGGGGACTAGTCCACCGTTAGTCAATTCTTATCCATGCTTATCCAACCCAACCAACCATACGTCATGCATTTTAAACCCTATACGTACTCTAGAAAAAAAAGAACTATAAAAGTCCCCAAACTCCCCAGCTCAATCGCAAACCCGCCCAAAAAAAAAAGAAACATTCAATTCTCTCCATCCAAAGCCGAATCTGAATCAAGAAGAAGCCGAAAAAAAAAAAAAGAGCAAGAACAAGAACAAAAAGAAATGTCCAAACTAAGCCACGCAAAGATCATCCTCCGCCGCTCCAGCGAACGCGGCTACGCCGAACACGGCGGCTGGCTGAAGACACACCACACCTTCAGCTTCGCCGACTACTTCGACCACCGATTCCAGCACTTCGGGTGTCTGCGCGTGCTCAACGAAGACCGCGTCTCGTCGCGCAATGGCTTCCCGACTCACCGGCACCGCGATGCCGAGATCTTCAGCTACATTCTCAGCGGCGAGCTCACGCACCGCGATAGCATGATCCAAAAGGGCAAGGAAGGTGCCCAGGGGAAGGAGTTTTATCGGATGAAGCGGGGGGATGTCCAGTTTACGACTGGTGGGAGTGGTTAGTATACCCTATCCTACTTTTATCTTTCCCTTGATGATGGTGGGGGAGGAATTTGGAACGAAGCAGATGAAGAAGAGAGATACTAACGAGTAATGAACTTAAAAAAACAGGAATCGCCCACTCCGAACAAAACGAACACCCCTCTAAACCAGTCCATTTCCTTCAAATCTGGGTCCTACCCTGGAAATCCTCCCTCAAGCCACAGTACCACACGCTGAGCTTTTCCGACGATGCAAAGCGCCAGTCCTTCGTCCCCATTATCTCTCCTCTGGCTGCCGGGCCCGAGGCCACCCCTGCACAGGAGGAGGCCGCCATCCCCGCGATCTCCGGGACGATCCCCATCCATGCGGATTTCGTGATGGGGGCGGGCATTCTCGAGCCTGGGAAGACGTTCCGGTGGGCGGTTGGTGGCGGGGAGGGTGCGGTGCAGTCGCGGCGGAAGAGGAATGTTTATGTGCATTTGCCGGCGAGTCGGAAGGGAGGAGCCAGAATTCGGTTAGATGGGAGGGATGATAAGGTGTTGGAGGAGGGAGATGGGGCGTTTGTGGAGGGGGTGAATGTTGGGGATGCGATTTCAGTGGAGAGTTTGGGGGAGGGAGAGGCGGAGGTGGTTGTTTTGGATAGTAATTAGGGACTTTGCTTTCTTTCCTTCTCTTTGTTACTTGTATATATGTGTACTTGTGGTCTTGGGTTTGGGTGCTGTTGTTGGGCGTTATGATTGGTTTGTTTTCTGTGTCTGGTTACCAAGGATTACTGTGTGGGTAATTTGATAGACTATTTGATACTATGCTGGGAATTAATTTATTTCACATTCTAGACCGGCCCACTTTCCGATGGATCCATTGAGTTCTTCGGCATACCGAGTTAGTCTTCAGGTTCCGGAGAGATAGAGTATTTGCTAAGCGTTGTGTGGAGCGAATCGGTTGCCTTGTTCGGAGGGTTGTAACAGTTTTTTCTCGTGCAACATAGGAATAGTAGGAACAGAATGCCAATCTGTTTCACTAGGTCTGGAAAACGAACTAGCACGTCGTGTGAATTAGATGTGTTTATAACGTTGAAAACTGACGAACCTATCTAGACTAATACAATACATAATACATATCGGGTGTCCGTCTGCCCCAGCTCAATATATCCAATAAAGAAGATAGATAACAGTCTAGATCATAATCCTTGTGGCCCGATTCAGAACACGCCCGGTATATCGAGACAGATCAGAAGAAGAGAAGTCATATGGTATCTCGAAGCGACAGAACGGCATACATGATAAAAATACATCCGGAGAGGAGAAGATTCGTTCTCTGATATAAGTGTACAGAGTAGTTGCAGTAACCGTAAAGAACGCCGCCCAATGCATTTGGAAATTTGTTCTTTCAAAGTTTTCAGAGAAATATGGGTAGTCAGCGAGATATTTGCAGGCTACCTCTATCAATAGCGGTCTCTGTTGTCCCAGCGGTTAGAACCACGGCGGCTAGAGTCGTATCTGCGCTCTTGGTAGCCTCCGCGGTTGTCACGGCCACCCCTGGATTGGCTGGGACCGCGAGAAGGACCACGAGGTGGACCACGCTGACTTCTAGGAGAGCCAAAACGACGCCCGGAAACATTTGCCTCCCTTACGTCGGCCACGCCCAGGTTTTGGGCCATGCCAGAGGAAATCGCTGGGGGCTCAGGCAGGTAATACCCATGCACGGCAAGCTCGTTCATGGCGAGAATCATATCTCTCGGACGGGGGAAGACTGACAACAGAGTGCCCAATTGAGACTTAAATGCCTGTTCCCGGATGTCTTCAGGAACCTGTTGCATAGCAGCCTTGACTTGCGCCACCGACTCTGCAGCGGATGGGGAAACTTCGTCGCCCACTTCCTGACGCATGTTCGTGACGGCCGTGGCCAGCGTATGATCTTTCTCGATAGGCAGGTCTCCCAACTTTTTCTGGATCCAATTGTTTTCACCAGGATGAAGGAGAAGCCATCCCTCACCTTCCTTGTTTGCTCGTCCAGTACGTCCGATACGGTGGATGTAGGTGTCACGGGAACGAGGAGCTCCAACCTGAATGACATGAGTAACGTCCGGGAAATCCAAACCTCTCGCCGTCACGTCGGACGAGAAGAGAATACCAGAGCGACTGTTCCGGAAGAAGTCGGAAGTAAGCGTTCTCCGGTTTTGGGTCAGACGCGAGTGGAGCTCCATTATGTATATCCTGTTCAAAGGGTGGCCACTCCGGCGGTCATCGGGGTTGTTGAGCAACTTTTTAAACACTTGGTGGGCCAGATTTACTTGCATTGTGGAGTTAAAGTAAACAATGGCCTTGAAAGGACGGGCATTGCGGTCATTAGCCATGTGTGCTTGATAATTCTTCGCCAACTCAAGAATGGCGGGCAGAGAATTCTGGAAGCCATCGAGCGTAACAATCTTCTGGGGAACTGCGAAGTGAGTAGGTACTTCATCCTCCTTGACAGTCTGGATAATTTTGAAATCCGGTTTCATGGATTGGTGAACCATGGACATGACTTCCTTCGGGACAGTAGCCGAGAACATGAGCGTCTGACGGTCGACATTCATCGGGTCAGGGAGTAGGCGTTGAATTTCGAAAATCTCAGGAGCGAAACCATCATCTAGCAAGCGATCTGCCTCGTCGAGAACAAAGCTAGACAACTTAGGAGCCTCGACTCCACTCTCTGGGTCGGAAAGAATATCCTTGAGTCGGCCGGGCGTACCAACCAACAAGTGACAGCCCTCTCTCTGGATCCGACGCAGGCCTTCCATCTTACGAGTGCCACCGACGGCCGATTGCACCACAATCCCGGTACCAGACGCTATCTTTTTCGCTTCTGTGGCAATCTGCTCCGCAAGTTCACGGGTTGGGGAGATTATGATAGCACGGATATCAGCCGACGTAGCCCCTGAACGCCTGTATGAACGTTTTTTGACAGTGGGGTCTTTCAGGATGTTTTGCACCACAGGGAGGAGGAAGGCGAGTGTTTTTCCAGTTCCAGTCTTTGCTTGAGCCAATCTGAGAGAGTATAAAATGTCAGCACCAAAGAACACATTGCGGACGAAAGTCAAACTAACACGTCGTTCCCTTGCAGAGTTTCCTGAATTGTCATGCTCTGAACGTCCGTCATCGTCTTAATTCCCATGTTCTTGTTAATGGTACGAATAATGATGGGGTCGACCAATCCCTGATCCGCCAGCTGCTTGAAACTGGACAAGCGGCCTTCCTGCTCGGCCTCAGCATTCTGAACCTGAGCTTCCGCAACGGCAGAGAAAGAAACTCGAGATGCATGGAAAAGCGAGCGGGGCACATGCGAGATTGCAGAGAAGGTCGGTGGACGCCATTGTAGCTGCTGGGGTGTCACTCTGGCTGAAAGAGACCGTGGAGCAGAAGCGCGCAGAGCATGGGCAACGCCGTTACGGCGGAAAGCGCCCAACATGATGGGAGCAAAGGGAGATGGGAAAATGTAATCAAGGGACTCAAGACAAAAATCGACTATCAAGCAAAGTAAAACCACTGAAAAGAAATTTCAAGGAATACAAATGATGGATAAAAGAGAGATAGGGATGGATGAAAAACGATGGCTGATTTGGCAAGAGGCGACAAAAGAAAAAAAGTCCGGCAGAAAAGTCGGAAGAGATCTCGATCAGCCACTCAGAAGGGAAGGATTTCATCCCGACAAGGAACAACAACGATCCGGAGTATGTAGCTAGAGGTACTTTATTTTAAGGTGCATATCAACAGCCAAATTCGCTTGTTCATCTCTTAGAATAAAATATTGAGTTCTATAATGTAGTATAGCTATAGTCAATATAGAAATACACGCATTGTTTTTAAATCTTAGGTGAAAAGCTCGACAGGCAAGTCGATCAAGGAGGTATACTGTACATCTAGTATGTATGGATGTACCGTGCTGTATCAGGCTCCCATATTGATGGCCTCAGGCAGAGTATTGGGTGTTCAAGGCGATAAGAGCGAAGGATCATTTAAGTACGGTGTTGAGATCAGAAGAGATGATGAGCCTATGGTTCCGCCGAGGGATGAAATCATTCTATGCAATTGATTGCTTAACTCATCAGGAATTATGCTCATGGATATCCCAGGATTCTGTTCAACATCAACCGATTAAGATGTGATGACTAAGCATCGGATGTAGGAAAGTTTAAACAGAAAATTGGAGACTGAGAAAATAAAATAAAAATAAAAATTAAATAAACCAATCCATGACTTCATGTTGTGCTCACTGAAGTTATGTACTAGTAACATGATATATACTTCTTTAGGTACATTATAAATCCTTCTTACCGGGATAGTAAGAATGAATGTACCACTACGTAAGTATGCCCGTTCAATTGATTAGTGAACCTCGCGTAGCAACTTTCAGCAACATCTCCGAGCGCGCAATGGAGAATTTTCTAATTTCCTGATTTGTGATCATCAGCAAGCTCCGGTTGTTTTGCCCAGAAGGTTAGGCTCTTCCGTGCCTCCAAAGAAGTCTGAATAATGTAGAGATCCACCCAACTGCTCTTCAAGTTCACGCCACCCATACTTGTCAACCCACTTTGCTGTTTCCGGAACCTTTGCCTCGGACGTGGGATCGGCCAAATCTCTTCCCCGTCCTTTGCCTCTCGAGAAGCTTCTGCCGCGTTTGGGAGTGATCTTGGTTGCTTTATAATCGTCATGCGAGGAGATTGGAACTGCCCCGCTTTGTTTTGAGGGGTGTGGTGACATCTTCCCACCTATAAAAGGAATCCTGTAGCTCTAGCCTATATAACCACTTTACCCATATCTATATCCAAACACAACTTACTTGCTGTGATTATCTTCTCTCAATCAACCTATTCATCCATACCCATACCTTGCCAGCACCATGTCCCAGAACAAGGCTCTCGTTTTCAAGAAGATCCCTCAGGGATATCCTGTCCCTGGACAGGACATTGTTGTCGAGCCCGTGTCGGTCGACCCTAACTCTCCAGCTCCTGCCAATGGTGTTGTCCTGCAGTCTCTTTACACTAGCCTTGATCCCTACATGCGTGGCCGTATGCGCCCCGCTGAGGTGAAGTCCTACTCTCCTGCCTTTGCCATGGACAAGCCCATCGACAGCAGCTCCATCGCCAAGGTCCTCCGCTCCAACAACTCCAAGTACAAGGAAGGCGATTTGGTCATTGGATTCGTCCCCATCCAGGAGTACATTGTCCTGGACGAACAGTCGATCGCCCGCATTCGCCCTCTCGAAAACCCCTTGGGCATCGAGGATATCCGTGTCTTCGTGGGTGCCCTTGGTATGCCTGGTCTGACCGCTTATTCGTCCCTGTACGAAATTGGCAAGCCCAAGAAGGGCGAGACCATCTTCGTTTCTGCCGCTAGCGGTGCCGTCGGTCAGCTGGTCGGTCAGCTCGCTAAGCATGAAGGCCTCAAGGTCATCGGCAGTGTCGGATCAGATGACAAGCTGGAATATATCACCAAGGAGCTGAACTTCGACGGTGGTTTCAACTACAAGAATGAGAAGCCCGCCGATGCGCTGGCCCGCTTGGCCCCCGAAGGTATCGATATCTATTATGAGAACGTTGGAGGTGAGCACCTGGAGGCTGCTTTGGATGCCATGAACAACTTTGGCCGTGTCGTCGTTTGCGGTATGATCTCGCAGTACAACTCGGCCCCTTACCCCATCAAGAACATTCAATACGTCTTGACTAAACGCCTGACTATGCGTGGCTTCATTGTTGGCGATGCCGGCATGGGTGACAAGTACACCAAGGAGCACCAGGAGAACGTTCAGAAGTGGATCAAGGAGGGTTCATTCAAAGCTCTGACCCACGAGACCGTTGGCATTGACAATTCCGCCGACGCTCTACTTGGTATCTTCCACGGAAAGAACAAGGGCAAGGCTGTCCTGAAGTTCTAAGCTGCTCATCTTTCATTGCATAGTATATAGTTCATTTTGCAGAGAGGCGTTATTTGTGAACCTCGGTAAACTGATGTTATAATGGATAGTATTGAGAATATAATGAATCTTCAAGAAAAATGGTACAATTTCTGGTAAAAAAAAAAAACTTTTTTACATTAGCAATGCCATAATAGCAGTAAACTGTAAGCGATATCCCGACAACACTAAGAAGGCTGTAAGGGAGACTTTCATGTTTTCCGTCTGTATAGCCGATTAATATTATTTGCCGGAACGTCGGCCATTTTCGGCTGGGCGGAGAGAGACGGGCCAATCAGCTGTGCCGCAATAGGATGACCGCATTCCCGATTGGACTTCCGAGGTTCCATCCTGACGAACTTGAACGACTTCATCTTGTTGCTTTGCCTCGTGCAGCGTTGAGTCGCAGAGAATATACCCAACGTCTTGCATTCCAACACCCTCACAATGGCCTCAATCGCCCGCCAGTCTTCCCTCCTCCGGCAGTCCTGCCTCTCTGCTTTCCGCTCGCCATTCGCGACCAGAAATGGCGCCGGCGTGTCGCAGGTTGTGGCCTTCCATGCCTCCGCGAAGAAGCAGATCCTGCCTCCTTTGCCTCGTGAGTGACTCCGAATATGACTTAGTCGTGACTGTAATATCAGTTATGATTCTTGGTCAACTAAGGAAAGAGATGCTAACGAGTACGAACAGAGACCATTCAGGGAACGAGTACGTCCATCACCGACTCCTGAAATACTCAAAGCGAGCTGCCTGTTTGCTGCAGAGATACAGTGGAACTAACCGGTCAATTACGTAGTGAACGACCCTGCTCCCATCCCCGCCCCTCACCCCTCGGAGGGAAGCTACCACTGGACCTTTGAGAGGTGTGTAGACACTCGGTTTCATGCACCTGACAGGATACTGAACTAACGACTGAACAGAGCTATCTCCGCCGGTCTTGTCCCTCTCACTATTGCCCCATTCGCTGCTGGCTCTCTCAACCCGGTCATGGACGCAGTCCTTTGCTCCTTCATCGTTCTTCACTCCCACATTGGATTCCAGTATGTTCATTCACCTTGGCATGAAGCTTTGATTCCAATCGATACTGACACCACGCAGGGCTGCCATCATTGACTACTTCCCCGCTCGCCGTGTTCCCAAGACCGCCACATTCTGCAACTGGCTCCTGCGTGCCTTCACTCTTACCACTGCCGTCGGTCTGTATGAGTTCGAGACGAACGACGTTGGTGTAACAGAGGCCTTCAAGAGGGTGTGGAAGGCATAGATTGTTACATTGATATATCCCTGTTTCTGATTACTTTCTTTTGAACTTTCCTTCCGTTCAGGCGTTTTGCCTATGTACATGCTGTTTCTGTTAAAGTAAGCCAGTCCAGCTGGTTGGCGCTCTTGGTATTGAGCTAAAAGATATGTAACTGTTCGAATGGATACTATTGGCAAATTTTTCTTTCTGCTTTTTTTGTTTTATTTAAATCATTTCTATGCGGTCCTCAATAGCCCTCAAAAATGTACAAACGGCCAGCGTTTATCAAAACATGCCGTATGCAAGCAAACCACGGTCCTCCAACCTAATCGCTCTCTTCCACTTCTTGCTCAAGACCATCCGACAACCGATCATCATCATCAGCCTTCTCAACCACCTTTTCCATCAACTTCAAAGCCGACTTCAACGGCAACCCCACCACATTATCCCAGCTCCCTTCAATACTCTCCACCAAAATTGACCCCAGCCCCTGCAACCCATACCCACCAGCCTTATCCGCCCCCTCCCTAGTCCGCACATAAGCCAAGATCAACTCATCCGTAACCTCCCCATCAAACCGCACCCTCGTCTCCTCCAGCGCCGTCTCAAGCGCATACCCCGGCTGCCGCGCACTAACCAACGGCGCCATAGCCGCCATCGCCGTATACACCTTATGGTCACGGTTATCCCGTAGCGACTTCAGCATGGCAATATGCTGCGCCTCGGAGCGCGGCTTCTCAAGAATCGTCCCGGTAGCCGTATCCACGACGATGGTATCCGCCGCGAGAATCAGCGCCGGCTCGCCCTTCTCATCATTCACGATCTCCTGTTCATAGACAGCTTGCGCCTTCTTTGTGGCCGTGGCGAGCACGTACTCGAATGGCTCCATTGTCTTGGGGAAGTCCTCTTCTGCGTTAGACGGGATGACTTCTAGATTGGGCAGGCCGAGGTGGGACATGATTTGTCTGCGGCGCGGGGATTGGGAGGCGAGGATGACTCGCTTACCGCGGAGCTCGTTGAGCACCGGGAGGGAGAGGGGCGGTGGGCGGGGGAGGGGTGTGCGCGCTGGTGGGTTGTTGCTTGTTGTGTCGTAGGCTGGCGGGGGGTCGATGGGTTCGGATTGGGAGAGGAGGGCGGCTTTTGAGTCGGACATTTTGGTTTATAGTGTTATCCGTCCTCTTTCTTATTGAGCGTATTGTAGATAAGGTCGCAGATATATCTATATAATTAAACGTGTCCGGGAAGCTTTCTTGATGCGCGGTCGAATTGTTCGAATATGGCTCGCATCTTTTTAGTTTCTGGATCTTGATATATGGGCGGTAGATTGTGGCAGAATCTATCGATAAGGTGGTTTCCTTTTTGCTTGCGGGTTCTCCGAATCGCCTATGTTGGTGTCGGATTACCGATGTATATCTCGCTGATCGTTTGAGTTAGTCAGGCATGAAAAATTCAAAGAAACGATTGTACATATGTTAAGTACAAGGGAATCAGGGTGTAACTCTATGTTTTATGGTTTCCTTTCATTTTCTTTCTTTCATTTTTCCATTTCTTTTTGCTTGTGTCATATCTTCTAGAACATGTGCCAAGCGGATGTAAGATCCGGTACTCTGGTACATGTACCCAGAGCCACGATAAGGATGAACGATGGCACCCATGGGTTAGGTATAAAGTAAGGAGTATTAGATACCTGCGGGAAGCAAAGCTACTTCATAATAACAATCAAAAACAGCAATTACGCAGCAGGACATGTCTTAAGTAATTGTGTTTGAAGCTGAATATATATTTTTATTGCGACTGCATTGATGAGCGATTGGTAAACAATTTTGAGGACACATACAGTGGTAATTTGAAGTATCCATCGTTTCTCTTGCTAGAAAGTTTTTAATAGTGGTTTGATATTCTATAATGTCGATAGTTGTAGGTATCTCCGATATTGATCGATCCCTTGCCTCCCCCGCCCACTCTTTCATATCCACTTCTGAGGAGTTACACGAGTATATGACTGAGAACCTCATATATATATTTCTCCAAGCCAGCCTACACAGAAAGGTAGGACAAAGCTGATATTGTACTCGTAAAGCGGTAAATGACAATAAGCATAACCGTCCCCTATCCTGTTCATTCATTACAAACCCAACACCTGAACACCTTAAAAAGCGCCTTGACGAATCGAGATTGATGTACAATGAGCAGATAGCGGAGAATGAAAAAAAAAAAAAAAAAAAAGAAAAACCAAAATAAAAAAGCAGGCACGCAAAGCACGATATGATCAAGGCGGGCGCGATATGACAAGACAACGAGCCCAACCGTGGCTCGAAAAATTTTATAAACAGAAAGTAATTCATGCCTCCTTTCTTTCGCATTGAATGGCATTTGAAATGATAATACCAAGCGCATGGTATTGTGTCCATCCGCACAACTCCGTAAACCAAGTCATCAACATCATCATGTTTCATGCCCGAGCGAACCTCGGCTGAGGATGCGAACCCCGGCGGCCGTGCCAACGTCACGACCGAAATGTATCATCAATGCGCCCACCTCTGCGCTCAATCTCAGCTATGAGCTCCTGTCTCTCCTGCAGTTGCATGTGAATGAAATCCACGGTCTTTCTCAGCACAATGCTTTCGCTTCGGCCCTGGCCTTCCAGGCCCGGAACTAGCTCCGTCAGGCGATCAAAGCCCTCGCGGATCGCTGCACGGCGCTTTTGCTCTGATGCAATGTGGTTGTTCTTCTTTTCTTGCTCCGTCAGTCGCGGTTTCTCCTTGTCCTGGGCGCTGCTTGAGCCGGCATGCTTGGATGATGAAGCGGTGGGGGTAGATGAAGAACGGTCATTGCGGTCGTCGGTCGTGTTAATTATGCCTGGACCGGGAGAGCACGAGGTCTCAGAAGAGCTGGAAGCGAGGGATGCTGGTGGTTGTGCAGAGGGCATGGTGGTTGGTGGTTGTTGCTGTTGTTGTTGTTGAGTTGCTGGAAATTGCGCCGGAGAGATTTTCATGTGATAGTAGACGGAGTGGGTAAATTGTACAAGAGAGATGGGAGGGTTCCAGGGAACTGGAAAGGAATGTGAATGGAAAAAGAGAAGAAAACTAGCGTCTAAAAGTATGTAAATTAAGACAGGTGAGAAAGGTAAAAGAAATAGAAAAAGAAAGAAGGTAAAAAAGCAATTAATGAGTGTGAGTCCCTAGGGGGAATTTGTTCTAAGCGTACCTAGTGACCTGCATGACTGACCACTTTATATGCTTCGGCGTACAATCAAATCTTTGAGCACACACTAAGAAATTCCCCCAAAGTAACCTAAGGTGCGGAGAAATTAATTTAGTTGCCGGATCGAGCGCTGCCAAGACTTCTCGATCCGTGGCCTTGACACCTTACGTCATCGATGCCAATTGCTCATCCTCAGGCCACTACTCAATCTTTCTAGTAGATTCATGCGTAACCCGGAACTGTTGTTCACTAACTTTCTTTCTGACAGCAATTGGCCATTCTCGACTCCTCGGTTTCTGAGTTTGTGCTACCTATTAAACCCGCTAACTAAATCAACCGTACTGGTGATCAGCTACCTACTACCAACATAGCACATCGTACAGCATTTAACCTACACATAAAGCACAATGACAAGTCGCCAACCCCTTCGCGGCTCCTGCCATTGTGGGCGCAATCAATACGTTATACAGCTCCCAGAGGATGTCTCCGAGCGCGCAGAGATCTACTTTGACAGTAGTCGGGATAGCCGTATGTCACTCACTCCCATACACCTCATCAGCCATGAAACGGTTTCACTAAAAATATCCGCCTAAAAACAGGAAGAATCCACGGAACGCCTCTTACGGCATGGCTTCGAGTTCCTCTGGACTGGTACCAGTCTCATACCGAATCGTACTTTGACGACGAATCGCGCGCCACAATCCGGCGCACCTTCTCCCCCGCTCACGCCCCGCATACACAGCATGCTTTCTGCGGATTTTGCGGAACACCTCTCTCATATTGGACTGATATCCCCAGCGATGAGGCGAACTACATGTCGGTGACAATTGGGAGTCTCTCGGGGGATGATCAACGATTGCTGGACTACTTGGGTCTTCTTTCGGAAGACGAAGATGGAGAAGTGGAAGCTGAAGGTAGCCGGGGAGACCGGTCGACTGATATTCCACTTCACACAACGCAAGCACCCTTGTCGCCGTCTTCTACTATCATACCTTCTTCAAGTGGCACAATGGGCGTCTCTAAGACCTATAGACAAGGCACGGTAGCTGGGATCCCGTGGTTTGAAGAGATGATCGAGGGTAGTCGATTGGGCCGCATGATGAAGTCTAGACGTGGGTTCGGTGTCAGTGATGATCATTCAACAACGATACAATGGGAGGTTAGCGAATGGACGCACGATGGGTCAGAGGGAGCTCAATCTAGTTCGTCCTCCGTGAAGAGGAAGCGTGGGCAGCATACCAGTGTAGAGGAAAGTGGATCCCCGTAAGGATTAGAAAGGTAAAAGCAACAAAACACTATGGTTTAATAATACAGTTATCATGATTTATTCTTTTGGCTCTAGGTTGTTGTTATATAGCCAAGAAGTCATGGTACATATCTTAGTTACTGGGCCAAGAATTTAGCTGTTGCTAACTCTACAGCGAGTACTACAGGCAATCTATAACTTGCTCACTTGCAATATTCCACCACTGTATATGTAGATATTACAATAATAGTCTATGAGTATGGAGAATATGCTTGCTCAATACACTGTACTCATGACTATAATAATAATGCTCCTTGGACTTAATCATCAGATATGGATACTTTCTATAGTAGAGTATAAAGGTCGCATCGACATCGAATATACATTAGAAACTAAATCAGATCGTAGAAATCATAATCTGCTATGAAATACCACAAGCATTTAGAACCATAACGTGACTATACATGCCTTAGGCGATCCTCCTTTCACAGACCTGATTTCCTAATTGGGTATCGCGCCATGGCATCGCTTAACGTTTCCATGTCTACTAACAGTGTAGTGAAGCACGTCTTTGTCTGTTCTCAAACAAGGAACACTGCTGAATTAACCACGCCCTTCTCCTCATTCTCATAGGTACACCCGTCACTTTCCAGCATTGAGTATCTATAAGTCTCTCTGTTGTGGCATATGATCAAGGAGCTCCCACCTATACATTCGTACACGTATAGATGGGAGCTCCTGGCCCGTTTTAACGGCACGGCTTCTCATCAACTACTTTACAACCAACCCACGGCTCTTCAAAGAAGCAATCGACATATGTCCTATCTGCGTTTAGTGAGTTTCCTTAACAACCTCGCCCAAGGGTAGATATATTGACATATTGGTAGGATACCTCTTCAAGTATGACCCATCATTGCAAAATGGCTCCCACAATAGATGCTCTTTCAGGACCTTCATCGTTTCCTTCTAGACCGAGGATGAGCTCGAATGAGCCAGGTCTCCAGACGTTGAGACCCATCAAGCGTTTCGATACCGCGAGCAGATATGATAGCGATTATTTCGATGCCGTCAACTGATGAAAGCCAATATCACGACTGGCGACTGGAAATACTCGAGAACTTCCAGATATGCTAGAGCTATGTAAACTGCCGTTAGCTGTGCGTGTATACAGAAATTCGAACCACATACGAGGCATGCACTCCCAAGAATTGATGGACAATCCAATGAGGAGGAGACAACATTGATGAGCAGGTCCTAATGACTGCCAAAGAATGTTAGAGTTGGCCGTATATCCATGAAATCATGAGAAAGGGGCCGAAGACGGTCCTATCCTGGAGGTGAATGGTGGTGATTACAACTACAGAATTCCGTTTTCTTTTACTTTCCTTCAGTGATTGACTCTTTTGTTGCACTGCTACCCATTCTCATACCTTAGCGAGAAGGCCAGGCAGCGACGAGGTGATCGCACGCACGAAATCATCTTTTCCCAACGAAACGCTCCTCCCCCGACAGTCTGCACGGCAACACATTTATCTCTCAGTGAAGAAAGGACAGCCAGCTTCCCACACGTCCACAATATCTCTTTCAACGAACTCCTTCCTCAATTCCTCATCTTGAAAGCACCTCTCATATTCCACTCAACCAGCCATTCAGATTGCACTTTATCTCTATAGCTTCTTCAGAAACCACTATTACACATCTACACATTAATACTCTACTCAATATGTCCTCTTACGCCCCTCATTTGTACGATCCTTTTGTGAACTTTCCTATCACAGGCAGACAAGAGGAAACACCCAGCTATGAAAAGCAAGTCCATATGACTAGCAAAGGTCAGTAACTTATTCTCATGCCACTTCTACACTAGAGTAGAACCTCCTGGAGCGTCCCATCAGAGTCAACTCAAGTGAACCACTTGTGCTAGGGTGATTCCTGATCTATGCGTTGATAAGCTACACACACTCTCTATAGATCTCTGGATAAGCCGTTCTCTTTCCATTTGCACCACTAACTTTGCATCTTGGGAACGGATCAAGATGCTAGATCTGATTCCCCATGTAGTGAGAGTGACACATCGACGATAAAGCCCTATCACTCTGGCAACTCTCAAGAACAGGGTAATCAAAGCATCCCTTCCACCTTTCCCCTCTACCGCCTGCTAACAATCGCACAGAACAGACCCGCAAACATGATACTGTCGAGAAGCCTACAAATTTGAATTCCCCAACCACCCAGCCCTCTACCCGTATTCCTCGTGGACCAGTCTTTCAGAGACAATGCCAGGCTGTTACTTCACAGAAAGGCGGCCGAGTCATCTCAGAGCAGCGCAGCTCAATCCCTATCCCAATCCCAGTCCGGAGCCCTGAGCGCCTGAAAAGTCGTTCAAAGACATCGGGTGAGGGGTTTTCTGGTGGTATTCGAGTAATCGAGAAGCCTCGTGGCCCTCGTCCCCACATTCTGGCTGAGCAGAAGAAAGACTCAGTTTCGAGATCGGTTGAAGAAGCACCTAAGCTGCCGAAAGAAAGCATCACGTCTTCCTCATCACCATCCGGCGGTTGGGACCTTGGAGAAGAAATGCCTAAGCGACCAACCAATGTGTACACTGGTGAATATCGTACTCGCCCTACCCTAAGAATTGCTCCTTCAGCCGAGAAGATTATCATGGGTCCGGATAGCCCTAGCAGTACGTATGCAGTCACACAACAATCGAACCCAGCCCTCGTTCAGTATCCGGATACAACTAAACACAGCCTTCAAAAAGGACTTCGTAACACTGAGGATACACCAGGGACCCCAGGATACAAACAGCAAGCCAGCAATACCGCTGAAGACAACCTGGTGACTCCACCATCCAACCCTCCCCGGATATCGCTTGAGACAACGCCAGAGAGGGACACCAGTGGCCGCCAATTTTCAATTCCCCGCAAGCCTCTCAACAGCCCAAGCCTATCATCTCTTTTCGCCCCCAGCCCCGGAAGTATGCAGTCTGCCCCTCCCATACCAAAGCTCCCTGAATCATACAAGTTATTAATGAAAGGAGGCATGGCATCTGGCCCAGTAACTCCGAAAAAGACTACTTCTCCCGGAGCTGAGAAGGTTGGGCAACGTCCAGGAGAGTGTGAAAGTGAGGTGACAACCAAGCCTCAAAACAAACGGACAACGTCACTTCAAACTGCGTCCAACTTCCCCATTCATGATGCACCACACCCAGCCCAGCACAGGACATTTGACGACATCGTATCACAAAGTCCTAGCCATAATATGACACCCCAAAGCGCTAGGATCCCTGATTCCCGGAGCAACCGTATGCTTGATGGCTTTCGAAATATCTTCAAGCATAGAAGCGCCATGGATAAGGATGAAAAGGGGCCTAACGAAGCATCTGGCCTTGCAATCAAAGACCCCAACCCCAGTAGTGCGAAGCTTATCACAAGTCCCGAATATAGCATGCTCGACTCTGGAAAGGCAGGGCCTAAGGCAAGCGCCAAGCATCCCAAGTTGTCTGAGGGTTGGAACAAAAACCTGCGCCTCCCTATACCCTCAGCAGACAGGCAAAAGAGGCCGACAATCTCGGCCCCCATCCCCATATCCCCTGAAAACATGCCTTCGTTCGCCCGATCCACAATGGCAGCACGCACCAGGGCCGTGACTAGTCCACGTGGAAAATCAGATATCGTTCCTCAAGGTCCGCAGCGCAGAACTCACACAGTGGCTGCCACCACTGGGAGTCCCCAGCACACTCGTCGCCCCAGCAAAGGAACCGAGGCAATCATGTCGCCAGTGCCAAAGCAAACTAACCTACCGCATTCTGCGGGGCTGACTAAACTGGACACTATCACTTCTCAGACGAAAGCTCCTCAGATTGAGAGAAGTGCCTCCAGCTCGCTGTCTAAGACTCTGGAAGAGGTCCACTCTTGTGTGGAACAGCTCTGCAACAAAGCGCGGGATGAAAGCACTCCGAGTAAGCGGGAAAGAAATCTGCGCGTAAGTATCGTTTACATTCATGATTTCTGCTTCTTTGAAACTGACAGATGATTGGTTCTAGTTGGCGCTGTCGTTGCAGCAGCAAGTCAGTAATTACAACAGCATCGAGAAAGAAGTCGCAGAGGCTGAAGCATTGGTGTCCAAGAAACGCGCGGACAAATGCCTTGCTGAAAACATCCTGTTCGAATCATATGCCCAGATTCGGGCTCAAATGGATGAGGATTAGATATCTATCAGCCTATCCGATGCTTAGTTCTCAATGGCTAAGAGGAACGTTAGTTGAACATGCCTACCTTCTAACACTAAGATGACTGTCTTGATAAATGTTCAGGTCCCGTGGGAACGTGTACGGAAACAATTTCGAGAATAGGGGGTTTCTTTGAACGTCACGTTGACATAGTTGTTTCTTTCCTTCATAACTAGCGCGAACTGCTCCTTCCTCAATTCTCTGGGAACATAAACCACTAAAAGTCAGTCTCGACACTAAGAGAGGATAGCAGTAAGTCTGGCGTTTGAAACAGTGTGTTTATTTTGCTTTCTGTCGTCTTGTTTGCCCTTGTTCTTAGGGAAATGAAAAAAAGAACGGAAAATAGAAACTGACAAAAGGAAAAAAAAAAGAAGGGAAACATTAAATTACCTTAAGAAGAAAATAAATCTGCATGAGTGACCATTAATGGTCTTGTGTATCTCTATGTTGCATTCTGTTGAGCTACACGTTGGCGTCCACAGTAGTAGCTGAGGAACAATAGGAGACGTAAAAAGAAGTTGAAAGCTTGTAATAAAGCAAATCACGATACATATCCTATGCCTGTGATTTCAGAAGCTTCATATGTTCATTAAAGGAACAGCTGCACGTAACGGGCGCGAGCACAAGCATGTTGGTGTGCTCGCGCCCTGGGCGGGAGAGAGAGGTGGAAGAAGGAAAGAAGGAAGAGGACAAAAGCCTGAGGCCGCGATTTATATGGTGAGGATTTCTTCCTTCCTGATATGTTGTGTTTGTCTGGTTGCCTTGTTTTTCACCCGCCACCATAGTCACAGTTCTCGTCACCAGACCTGCTCTTTGTTTCAGATCTCATATCGACAATCAAGGCCAGAATTGCTTCCACAAGAGTCTTTTTGTCCCTTTCCACATCTCAAGGTAGACAATTCTCACTCATTATCATACCTTGATTAATACTGAAGATATGTGACAGTCACATCCTTAGGATCCAAAACCCCTACTAGTTGGATTTAGCTGGGTATCCCAACTCACGCCATGACAAGAGGTGGAAGGCATGGGAGACGCCAAACCGGCCAGGTAAGTCCCGTATCATACTAAGTCTCGCGAACAAATACACGGGCTAACCGTATATCTTGTGGCATTGTCAGGGTGTGGCATACTCAATGCAACCTCTCCTACACAGTTACGGGACCCCATATCCGGTATATCCGAGACCTATTGCTTCGGTGTCACCTGGTTTGATGCCTTCTCCACATGGCTTTGTACCCCTGGCGCATGATGGGTTTCCTCCCAGCTCGTTCTTGCGTCAGCAGCCGTCGGGCCCCCCTCCCCTCTGGAGTCCTGGACCGATCCCTGACTACTATGACCAGTATGAAGATCCTGGGATGAGGAGGAACGGAAACCAGCTCCCCAACACATTTCCCCCGAGACAGCCTTCTCTACCTTCTCAACCAACCCAGGGCTACCCAAGCCAACATGCTCGACCTGTCCAGCCCATCCCACAAATCCTGCCTGGTCAGCCGTTTCCCCCGTCCCAGTCCGTTCAACCGCTACCACAATTTCAGCCATTTCACCCTATCCTACCAGGTCATTCTACCCGATCAAGTCAAAACAACCAGCCGTTCCAGCCCCCTCCCCATCTTCGACCTGCCCCATCCGTTCCATTTTATCCATATCAACCTGTTGCTGCACCTGCTGTGCCCTGCGTCGCTCCGGTATCTTACTACCCAGCATATCCGGTAAGTAAGGTTTCTCGCATGTCCACACAGTACTCACACTGATGAAATGGCATATGAAAGGCATATCCATATCAGCAACCCCCATACCAGCAATACCCATACCCTGCGAATGGTACGGGAGGAGGCCATATACCGGAGACAGCAATCAATCACACGGGAACTCAATTCCGGGACCCTCAACTTCGCGGTGACGCCCCTGAGTTTTTCCCAATCCGTCAGAGGGCGAGGAGGTCGACGGGAGACAAGTATATGATTATCGCCAGCCCGTGAAGCCGTATATTGCGTGCTACATTGTGCTTTGTGGTTGTGCTGTCACCCGTTTGAGTTTCACATCTCTTCATCTTACGCTGACTTGTCAGACTTAGATGTTCTGGGGTGGCTGATATGGATGGCTCCGTTTGGGAAGGTGGATAAGTTGGCGTTTGGATTGTGTGTGAAGCTGTAGACAGGGAGGTGTTCCATCAGAGGTGAGGATACTAGCATAGCATACAATGGGATTGCTCCATAATTAATTTACTTTCGTCAAGTCTCACTTAGGGTTAATCCCGGGGAGGAAATCCGGACGCAGATGACCAATCAGATAAGGGGCCCTAAAAATGAGGGCGGAGACAACAGTTTAAACTGCCTCGGGAAAAGATGTCCGCAACGCCTGCCCGAACAGGTTTAGAGAAGGGGGAATGGTTGGGGTCGTGTGGGGGATCCTCTTGTCTCTCTCCCTCCTCCTCCTCCTCTTCCTCCCACTCCCATCATCATCATCAACTTCGCACAATACAGACAATCAACTGAACTTGGACAATGGGCATGACCTGTCAGCTCGAAAGGATCCCTGCACTGTTAGCCTCGTCATACTGGAACCACTAAACCGATCTGGGGTCATCCTGTTTATTCTCAATCGCTGTAAGACGGACACACTAATGTATGCTCGGCATCTCGCATGGGTTACCGATTCGAGCCAAACATCCACACTCCCTACTTTAATTCCATACCACATCATCCACATAACAGTGTAACTTGCCCGTGGGCCTTGTGCCACCAGCCCCGCCTTGTCCAACATGGTCTTTTGCGGGAAACCGAGCAAAGGCTGTGGTGAATGCCGATCGCGGAAGATCCGTTGTGACCAGGCCCGGCCAACATGCTCCCAGTGTATCAAGGGAAACCGCGTGTGTCCCGGATATAGAGATGAATTGTCGTTGATGTTCCGCGATGAAAGCCAACAGGTGGTCCGGAAGGCCAAAGCCGGTACCACCGGACGACGGGCTAAAAAGTCCCCTAAATCCACTCGCATGCTTTCCCCAAGCGGGAGTAGCCCTCAAGGGACCACCACATCATCGTCCCTAACAAGTGACATATCGGATTTCAACGATCTTTCCGATCTGTATCCATCGCCACCGGCGGCACAGCAAGTCGCCGGTCCCCTGTCTCCGAAAATCGCTCCTCCTCCATCATACCAATTTACTGAAGATGAAGCCGTGTGCTTTTTCCTTCGCTTTAACGCGTGGCCCGGGGCCTGTTGGATAATGGAGTTTTCACCGGATTTCTTCGTGATCCCAGAGGTGACCCTCAGCCAGCAGGCAATGAAGGCAAGCCTTGTTGCGGTCGGGACTGCCATGCTTTCGCGTATCCGACAAGATGGACCTCTGAAGATTGCTGCGGAGAAAGAATATGGCAATGCTCTGAATTTGATGTATACAGCTGTGATGGATGAAGAGGAGGCTAAGTCTAATCCAACCCTCGGTGCGGTTCTGTTACTGGCCATCTTTGAGGTAAATCGCACTTGTCTCGTTCTTGTTCTTCGTCTCTTCTCCTCACTTACTAGATTTTTTCATTGTACTAACGGCAAATACAGGTCGTCACGAGTAGAGCCCCGGGAAATATTGAGAAATGGACGAATCATATTTATGGCGCTGCGGCATTACTTGAAGTGCGAGGTCCAGAACAACTACAAGACGAAGATGGACTGAAGCTGTTTGTTCAGTTAAGGTTTCAGATCGTATGTTGAAATAGGAACCCCCCTTCCTCACTCTCTTGCTTGTCCCGGTATATGCTAATGACACGGGTCAGATCATTTGCTGCCTTCAAAGAGCGATGCGGGTCCCCGATTCCCTGATTGACTGCTCGAAGGTTGCCATGTTTCTGCGAACTAGGGTCGATGTCTATGGCGACCGTTTGATTGGCATCGCGGGCCGACTATCCAATTTACGAGCAGATATTAACATGGGGTTATTAGTTGACCCGCATGAGATCCTATCTGCCGCTTACGGCATTGAGGCGGAGCTAATGGGATGGATTGCAGCCTTACCCCCCGAGTTCTTGTACACCAATGTTGAAAGCCCAACATTGTCGGACATTTCGTCCAACATGTGGGGTCAGGGACCTCATCCATACAACAGCAAATATCACATATACAGCGATCTCTGGACATGCCATACATTTAACCAATATCGCTGTGCCCGAATCATTGTGAGCGAAATCATCCTAACCTGCCTGCGCCAACTCTCCCTCAATGTGCCAGCAGCTGCAGTTTCCAGTGATCTTCTAGAGCACTGTACTAGACTGCGCAATACGACGCGTCAGCTCGCCAACGACATTTGCGCCAGCGTCCCATACCATTTCAGTGTGGGGAACATCCCGATGGGTCCCTTCGATAGTCTCCCCGTGAATCAGAGCTACGTCGCTGGCTTGCTTCTTCTTTGGCCATTGGTTCTCGCGGGAGCAACAGAGTCGTTGAATCATCCTATGCGCAAATGGGTAATTTCCTGCTTTCGGCTCATTGGGCATAGCATGGGCGTAGATCAAGCCCTGGCTTTGATTGAGGTCCTAGAGTGTGAATCGGGAATTTTCGACGGCGTTGGGGATGGCGATGACGGCGTTTACTTCCGTGAGACTGTTTCACTAGCGACAAATCGAGTTTTGGTAGGAACGTGGGCTTCCTGATCACCTTCCCGCTGTTAATAGCATTGGACAAACTCCCGAAGGCTGACTTACGCATATATATATTTCATCTTCTGTTTATTCGATTTATGTTAACGATAATACCCCATGTTTATTCACCTATGATGTCGCTTTTCTCTCGGTATTTTTCTTTACTCCCGGGTTGACTGATTGCGTTAGATGCAATCCTTGGGGAACGGCCAGCCATAGGGTATATACTAGTTTTACCAGCTCCCCAAACATGCATGTACATGAGTCCTTTTGAGAAAGTATTGTGCGAAAGTAACGCGGACGACTTGTATTCGGAAATGACGGAGACACAGGTAACTCTTGACAAGTTTAAAAGTTACTTCACATAATCCATGGTTAGCTTGATTTTCTATGCCAGAACACAAACATAGGATGGCCATGGAAGATAATCCCCAATTTCTAGGACCCATCACAGACCACTGTGTTATGCAGAATGTCCTAAAAATCCCCCTTCTCAGAAGGAAAGAAAAGAAAATAAAAACAAGAAAGATGGGACAGTTTTCCCCAAGTATATTATGCCCACATTGCTTTGAATTTGTCGTTAAACTCAGCCTGGAGCATTTTGAACGCTTGTAGGGCTAGAGAGACGCCCTGTCCTTCTAGGATTGCGCTCGCAAGAGACACGTGGTCAGTCACATCCGTGCTTTGTGCGTGAATACTAGTATTCTTCTTCTTCTTCTTCTTCTTCTTTTTGTTTCCATTCAGATCACCGAGAGTCTCTTGGGCAAGACCTGGGGTGGTTTCTTCCCTCTTTTCTCTGTTCGGCTCGTCGTCAGTCACTTCATCTTCCCAGCTCTCGGCTACGTTAGGCTTTTTAGCTTTGACCGACATGGACGGAGAAGGTTGTTTTGGAAGTCCCATTTTCTGATTTCTGCTTGACTTGGGAGTCTTATCTTTGGTCTCGAAGACTTCTTCTTTTGCAAGACTAATATCCCATTCTTCTTCATGGACGTCGCCACTACCCATAATGTCTAATAGTTCCGGGTCAATGTTAGGGTCTAATTTGAGGAAGTTCTCAAGACTAGCCACGATGGTAGCCAAAACGAGAGAAAAGTCGTCTAGAACAAACCAAATGCCACCCTTGCGGATCCTGTTGTCCTTTTCGAGGGCGTGCACATTGCCATGCTTGAAGAAGTCGAGTAGGTACCCGTTCAAGGGGTTATTTCTTTTCTTAGGGTACAATTCAACGTAAGGGACAGCGGCTTGCTCGAGCCATACCCCGCTTCGGACGTTTTCGCAGAGCTCGGGAATACTGTTCCATTTGTCGCGGTGACCGGATAGGGCGACGAAGGCGGAACTCACTTGTGTTGGAGGGAGGAATGCCATTGATGGGCTGATATCCTTGGCGGGTGTATCGCCTCCGCATTTGAAGTTGGTTAAAGGTAGAAAGCAGTCTGCCTCTTTGATGTGTTGGTTGAGTAAATATTCAATGTCTTTCCGTTGTGATAACGCAGAATTCGCGCTGCCTTCTTGGGCATTGGTGGAAGGATTACCAATGACGGTGAGCTTTTGGTTGTTGTCTGTTGCGATTCTAAGATAGCTGGTCTGAGGCCATGACAGCCGAATAGGTGTGATATGACCAGTATTAGTATCAAAAGCACTTGCTTAGGTTTATTGCGGATGTCTTTGCAAAGGTCATGGAAGTAACCCCCACTGAGCAGCGTGTGGAAGGCAAAGCTGGAATTCCCAGTGTAATAGAGGTAAGCTATTGTGTTGGAGAAATTCAGTGGTGCTCCGCCTTGGTCCAAAAGGCAGTTGCGCCGAAGGTATTTAATTGAGAAACGGAGATGGTGAAGAACTGTATGTTTTGACTCTGGCCCGCCAAGGTAGATACGTGGGCATGAAAGGATTTAGTTGATCGCTTTCACAGCGTATGGGGCTTACTTAGATTCATGAAGCAGGATGAACAAACCTAGGACTAAGCTGGTCGTAATAGGAAAATGTCTGTTGAGATTTGGAAGCTTCGAACTGAGCAAGCGACAGATTTTTGAATAGATGACTCCTTGGAAGACAACGTTTCCCAGGAAGTCGAACCCACGACGACCAGCTCGACCAGCTGCTTGACGATAGCCAAGGGCTGTCAGAAAAACCGAATCACCCGAGAAAACAACTGTCTTACAAGGCATATTGATACCGAGGGCTAACGTTCCCGTTGCAATAACCACGCGTAGATAGCCCTTGCGGAAAAGGATCTCACATACATGACGGTACTTGCGGTTCATACCCGCGTGGTGAACGCCAATACCTCGTCTTAAAGCCTTGATAAGCCATACTGGTATAAGTCGTTGCCTCAGTTCTGTTACATACTCTTCAAATTCCGACGGTAAAAGTTTTCCATATCCGCCAGATGAAACCCGGCAATTGGGGCTTCAGGGTCAAAGGGTCAGATCATTGGGAATGCCTCTAGATCGGTCAATCAAGCTCGCGACAGGGGTGCATAAAAGACATATTCGGACTATTATCGAGCCCAAGTGGAGCGAGTAGGCTTGGGGTTGAGAACCCATTAAACACAAAGCTAGCTGGAGGGTGATATATGTACTTCCTCAAGTCCTAGTAGCGAGTGCTGTGTTCGATCATCTCCAGTTCGTTAACATTTGCCCTCTGGGTTAATTCCAACCATTTGTTAAACTCCTGTGGGTTGCCGACAGTTGCGGAGAGCGCGATGATTGGCCATGGGGCAAGTAAAAGCAGTTGTTCCCAGATAACCCCGTCGTCTGCTTGACCAAATGCAGTTAATCTCGTCGAATATTATACGCTTGACTCGAGATGACCATAGGTCTGCATTTGCCCGGGGGCAAGGAGCATGATTTGAAGAATGTGAGGCACTGTAATCAAGACTTGGCACCCAGTCGGGTTATTGATGCGGTAATCACGCGTATGAATCACCAATACGGATTCTCCAGTTTCTTTGAAGTTTTTAGAGAATCTTGCCTGAACCTCTACGGCAATTTGGTTGACAAGAGCCTTTGTAGGGGCTACATAGACAATGGCTCCTTCATTGTCGCCCTCTAAGATTTGCTTAATTGCATAGAAACTGGTGATTTAGGTTAGCAATGTCTTCATGAAAATCCACAATGCTATAGGTACAAGATACAAGATAATGAGAGAACCTACGAAATAAATGTCTTTCCTGCGCTTGTCGGGGCCACCACGAAGGGGCTCTTTCCTGCGTCGATTTGGTCCAAGATCTCCCGTTGCCATCTATCGGGCTCAAAGTCATGAACACGAGGGTCTTGGTGCGGAGCCCATACTTCGATCAAGGTATGGCCCAGCCTGAATCAGTTGGAATTCAAGTGTAGATAAATCAATGTTGACATCAGCATTGGGGGAGGCAACTGATGCAAACTGAAAGGAAAGTGGCTGTTTGCCCTGGGGTGAGATATCCACAACCGGAAGGCCAAGTTTGGTCATAGTATCCTGCAAGCACTTGGTTATATCCTCAGTTACATCATGGCTTTTTTCCTCGTAATCTCACAGACCGTGGCCCAAATAAGTGCGGCAACTGATATGGGGCGATCCCTTTGGTTGCCGCTGCACTTATACCCTAAGTCGATGCATGTACTCTGCATACTCGCTGCTTTAAACCTGTTTCTTTTCTTTATCTTGCTTTTCTCCAGAGAAACATGGTCTTATGTAATCCATTGCCCTAGAAACTCTCCACATTGGTATTTGGTGGTACGACCAACTGTATGTCGTACAGGGAACAGAACGGGGCTGTGCACGGATGTCTGGGCCTAAGGCATGACTATGACTACTACTACTACTACTACTACTACTACTACTCCTACTGTGCTGCGCCTTACAGGCTGTACATGTTTCCTTTGGGTCCTACTAGTAGTACAATAGTCGGTACTACCTTAGTACCACTTTTTGCTTTGTGCTAATTAACTCCAACCCCCATACGGAGTATATGTACTGTTATCATATCCCTTGCCTCCAATGGCGGTGCTGGGTTAACGTAGGGCAAAGTATGTAATTGTCGGGTCGGGGCACCACTGCCATAGGGATGTCCCACTGGAATTGTGCCTTATGCTCCATCACGGTTGTTATGGGGATTGAACCAGCTTTGACTGTGAGACAGAGGAAGCTGCCTTGTTTTCTGCCTTAGGAACCCTTAAGTTTTCTTAGTTATTCCCGAACTAGCGGGGAAGTCGCAGATTCAGCCTAGCACTTGTCGGGCGATTCCATTCACTATTCCAGAACCGTGGAAACATCAATAATGTCTTTATGGGATTGGAGAGGAAACGGTTCTAAGAAATTAGGTCAATCGTTGACTGTAACACATGATAGGAATCTCCCATTTCTTACTACTCAATGTTTGTTTTATATATTAGTACAGGTCCTTTCAGTCGAGATACAGTTCCATACGTGGGAGCTCAACACGGAACTAGCCACTACAGCAACAACGACCATTACCACTACCTACCTCACTTACAAACGTCATTCATTGCATATACACAGATCATACGAGTGTACTGACAACGACTTATTTTCACCATCTCCCAATCCTCAGTCGCAGCGACTCTGTACTTGATTATGGGCAACCATCATTCACGAGTCCGGAGCTATTCAGGGTCTCGCAACAGGTCTAATACTGCATCAAAGTACGACCGACGTCGGCAGGTGGCAACCGATATGCAGGCAAAAAGTGCACCTGTTCAAGCAGGAAGTGCCGATCTCTGGTCCCCTCCTCCATACACCCCACAGCACCCTTCAAATACTTCGGCATCCAGGGCTTCGTCATCTGGAGATTCGCCTTACTCGTTCCTGCGCGAATTTGATACTATTTTTCTGGTAGATGACAGTGGTAGCATGAGAGGGGGTCGCTGGAAAGAGGCTGCGGATGCTATTGCCGCCATCGCGCCCGTTTGTACCGCACATGACCAGGACGGTATTGATATATATTTCTTAAACTATCAACACGGAGGAACTGATCCCAGAACCGGCGCATATACTAACATCAAGACGTCGGATGATGTCCGCGAGATCTTTTACGGTGTCGAGCCGCAAGGAGCAACTCCAGCTGGGCGCCGTTTGCGTCAGATTCTGGACCCATACCTTCGTCGCGTGGAGGCCATAGCAGCCAAAGGAAAGGACCCTAGTGAGTCTGTGAAACCGCTCAACATCATCACCATCACAGACGGAGTGTTCACGGATGACGCGGAGAGTGTTATCATCAACGCCGCCAAAAGGTTGGATAAATGCAATGCTACACCATGGCAGATTGGCCTTCAGTTTTTCCAAATTGGGGATGACAAACATGCACAGGAATATCTGCAGATGCTGGACGATGACCTAGGCCACAAGTCAAAGAACGAGGGCATGCGAGATATTGTGGATACAGTGCCATGGAGAGGTGACAAGGGTCAAACGTTGAGCGCGGACGGAATTTTGAAATGCGTCCTCGGTGCTGTCAATCGCAAATATGACAAGTGCAACGCATTTCGCTAACCTGGCTTTTTTTTTATTTATTATTTTTTTTTGTTGGTCTGTTTCGCTCAAAGGTCCCAAATTGCAGAGCCTTTCAGATATTGACGCCTAATTTATTTCAATCATGATCGGTGACTTTTCAAACCCAACGGTCTGTTGCAAATAAAGGAAATGAGTTTCAAATGTTTCGCAGCAAGCGCCGCATAGCCGCCGAAAATCCCGTGCCAGACACGGATTTATATGATTCGCTCACTAGCTTGGACACAATAACCCTCCTCCCTTCTTTTTTCTTTTTGGCGTTCCTTTCATGCTTTTCTTACCCTCCATTTCTGTCCTGTTTGAAGGACGCTGAGACAGATTGCAACGAATTCCATTGCTGGGGAGTGAATGGCAATAATTTATTGGTCAAAAAATAAGATTGAAGGCCCTGATACTATTAATAAAAGATGCTTATTGCCCTAAAGTCTCCCTATGTTTACTTTAGCATGATCGTCAGTTGCCCAGCATCCAAGGGTCGGCCGAGTAGCGCCCGGCTTCGATGAGATATAGTAGTGCTGTAATAAATTTCCGACGATTTCATTGAACAATTGCCATTCCGATATTGCCAATGGTCTAGTTTTCCTGACTTGGTATCCAGACTAGCAAGTTTAGCCTGCTCTATCCTTAAGCTGAGGCCTGGTCCGTGAGGATGGATCTTCGGCCAAGTCCTAGTGCTATTGGGAATACCCATTAGCTCAGGCGAGGAGCGAATAAATCTTGACAAATTGTTTAGGTAGATTTCAGCAGGCTCTAACCTTGTCCGCTGACAGTACGTAAATGTTCGCATGGGAGGTTTGTTTACGCCTGGTACTTCCCAAACGATGAGGATCAAACCTTTTTGTTTTCCTTATAGGAGAATGGGATCTGATCTGTCTTGTAAGTCCTACACCTCCTGGTATGGCCAATACAGTAAAGAATACCATGCGTCGTGGCACCTGTTCCTCACGTGGTGGAGCAGGGCGATCGGCGAGAAAAATAAAATGTATCGGAGCAGTAATCAACCCGCTACCCTTACGTTACCTGGTCAGAGGTAGAAAAGTAACTGAATGATTCACCTTCAATTCCCTCCGTAATATTTCTGACTGGACTATCACTGCAGGTCTGGTGCTACGTCAACTCGAGAGTAGAGTCAGTCTGAAGGATTCTAGGTACGTAGTAGGAATAGGAGTGGAGTAGTTCATCTTCAGCTGCCGTCTAAATTTCCTTATCATCCATGAATCACTCGCAGATAATTTTTTCTTCCCACGGTTCTCAAGTGGCTCAGAATCATGTATGGTATTGTCACCAGCCACGCAGAACCCCTCCCCCCCCCCTTTTTATTTTTCCGGATTTCCATTCAATCAGATTCGCCGGAGAGCGTCTCCATGCGAGCCAAAAGTGGTTCGCTTCTCTCACCATGATCCGCCACCGCATGGTTAGCTGCAAAGTTGTGATCCATCTATCCACCCGCCCCCCCATTTGGCTCCTCTACTAAGGGCAACTAAGGCCCAGTAGTCTTTGGTTCGCCAGGTACAGGATACCAATTCAGTCATTTTCAGCTCCGGTCCCCGCTCCGTGAGTGGTCGATTGGAACTCTCGGGAACCATGTTTAGATCTCATCGCGCGTCCTCGCTACTTTTTTATTTCCCCCTAGCCTCAAAGGCTACCCTTTTCCCTTCGTGATTTGCAGGGGTTTGTGTGCACATCGTGACGTGGATATTGCAAAAAGCCGGTGGATCTTCGTACGGTTCAAAGGATAAGCGCCGGTCGAGCTACTCCGTATGCGTTTGTTGATCGATTGATTACCTTTCTTCTACCCCAATGCCCACAGTCTGCGACTGATTTATATTCTTACGACCATTGTTCACAGTGCGAGAGTCCGGACTCTCCACTCTTTTCTTCCAAATGTTCTCTTCTGACTAACCAGTTTCTCTCCACCGAGTGAATCTCATATCCACACTCCTTTAAGTCTTGGTCAAAGCACAGTATCTCCTGTAGCAAGCGCCAATATTCTTCTACCTTTTCTTCACGAATGTTCTCGACTCCGTCTATCCGCCTTGCCAGCGCTTAGAGCTCACGACCAACCAGTGTCATTGGCTCTGAGTATTTCCTATTTCACGTCAGGGGCATCGAAATTTAACTACTGTCCCGGCGCGGCTACTGAATCAATTGATTCCCAAGAGGCCAGACTGTTTGGTATCGATTTTTATTGGGGGGTTGTGATGGCACTTTGTTTAGCCTTGAGCTTATAGTCGCGGACTTATCTTTATTAATCCAACGTTCGCAAGTTTTACAGCGCACCCCAAACAACACCGGGTTACCCTCCTTTGTTCATAAATTTATCTGTCCAGGCTGGCCTTGGGGAAATTGCCTTGTCTCTCTCTTTCTGTTTCAAAAGTACATTATCCTACTTCAGTTCGCCTTGCTGCCATCCTTCGCCGCGCCAGATCTTGTTTATTTCTTGGTATTTTCTTAGTTATACCGCCATGGCTTCGACAACTTTAATGACATTTCTCCTGTGAGCCGCTTTCTACGTTCTGAATCCATTGCATACGCTAATAGCCGAATAGATATACTAATCCCCAGGTTAAGTCTGTCAAACTGCTAGGCTCATGGGATAACTTCGCCAAGTCGTATCCTATGGAGCACGACAGGCGTATTGGTCCAGGCCATTGGAGGGGATGCCATAGTTTTACTAGCATAATATGTGATGGAACGCCGAAGAATATTGGTTCATCTCGCTCCGGTGGTCTCAAAATGGGCGGCACATATTGGTATTATGTCAGTATTCTTACGTTGCTTCTGTTTGGCAGCTTTGTCTAACCTAAGATTAGTACTTACTGGACGATGATGTGGAATACTACAATCATGCGGAGCCAGTCACATCGCATTGTCCTCTTCTTCCCGGCCAGCCTGTCAACGTTCTTCATGTACCTGTCATTTTGCCGGATACACGTCCGATT